ATTTCAAGAAAGATTGCTTTGATTGGAAAAGGAAACAAAAAGACCCGAACAATTCTGATGTTGATAATGCTGCTATTGCTACTGAATTTAATAGTTTGCATGTCATGAATGTGTCTGAAGAAGAATTTGACAAAAATTAGATTCTTGACACAGGGTGCACTTTCCATATGTGCCCTGATAGGTCTTGGTTTTATAACTATAGGGAGACTGAACCTAGGAAGGTCTACATGGGAGACAATAATTCTCAAAATGTGATTGGAGTTGGTGACATAGCCATCAGGATGTACGATGGGGCCGTCACGCAACTTAGAAATGTTAGATATGTCCCAAATTTAAAGAGGAATCTCATTTCCTTAGGTTCTCTGGAAGATGAGGGATATACCTTCAAGTCTGGTAACAAGATTTTGAAAATTATGAAGGGTTCTCTTATAGTTATGAAGGGGCCCAAGAGGAATGGGCTGTACTATCGTGAGGGTAGAGCTGAAATACCATTTGATTCTAGCCTTCTTGTTGTGAGTAAAGACAAAACTGAACTTTGGCATAACAGAATGGGTCACATTGGGTTTAAAGGTCTAAAATCTTTAAGTAATCAGAAATTACTTGGAAAAGATGACATTGAAACTATGAAATTCTGTGAAACTTGTGTTTTGGGTAAGTCTCATAAGGTGAGCTTTGAAGCTAGCTCTCATAGGACCAGCAGACCATTGGACTATGTCCATGCTGATCTATGGGGCCCGGAGAAGCACTCCACATTTGGTGGGAGCAAGTACTTCTTGTCCTTAGTGGATGATTACTCAAGAAAGGTTTGGATTTATCCTTTGAAGGCTAAGTTGGAAACTTTTGGAAAATTCAGGATTTGCTTAAAGTCTGTTGAGAATCAGTTAGATAAGAAACTTAAAACATTAAGAACTGATAATGGGCTTGAATTCTGTAATAGCGAATTTGACAACTTCTGTAAGCAGAAAGGTATAAGAAGACACAGAACTGTTAAATACACACCTGAACAAAATGGGGTCGCTGAAAGAATGAACAGAACCATAATGAACGAAGTTAGGTGTATGTTGATTAGCTCTGGCCTTGCGAAAGGTTTTTGGGCTAAAGCTGCAAGTACTGCAGCTTATCTGATTAATAGGTCTCCGTCCAGCAGTATAGGGTTTAAGACCCCACAGGAGTTGTGGACGGGAGAGCCTCCAAATTTGGAACACTTGAGGGTGTTTGGATGTGCTACATATGCACATCAATCTGAAGGGAAACTTGAGCCCAGGGCTGTCAAGTGTGTGATGTTAGGGTATCCCAAAGGTATGAAGGGCTATAGGTTATGGGGGGGTCCAAGGCATTAAGATTATTAACAGCAGGAATGTAGTTTTTAATGAATATGAGATGCCATGTCTAAAACAGAAAATCGAAGAAACTAAAAAATCTGAAACTGAGAAGAATATTCAGACTGAGGTGAAGCTGACTAGGCTAAATTCACCTACACCTGGGAATGACGAAAATGACCCTATACATCATGAAAATGAAAATGAAATTGAAATTGAACCTAAACCTGAACCTGAAGAGGTGACTGAATTTCAAGATAACATTGAACCAGTTGAAGTTGAACATTTTAATGATCAGCCAACTAATCAAGATTATCAGCTTACTAGGGATCGGGAAAGGAGGCAAATCAGGCCAAATCCTAGATATGAATCCCTAAACTTGACTGATTTTGCCTTGGTTTCAGGTGAAGCCCTTGAACAGATAGAACCTGCTAGTTATGAAGAAGCTGTTAATGGAAAATGTTCTGAAAGTTGGCTAAAAGCTATGCGGGAAGAAATGGAATCTCTAATGGAGAATAAAACTTGGAAGTTAGTTAACAAACCTAAGGATCATAGGCTAGTTCAATGTAAGTGGATTTACAAATTGAAAGAAGGAAATAATCCTAGTGATCCTCCTAGGTATAAGGCCAGATTAGTGGCGAAAGGGTTCACTCAAAAGGAGGGGGTTGATTACAATGAGATATTCTCTCCTGTGATAAAGTACAAAACAATCAGACTGGTTCTTGCATTGGTTGTTCAGTACAACTGGGAACTAGAACAACTAGATGTCAAGACTGCTTTCCTACATGGGGAATTGGAAGAGGATATTTACATGAGTCAGCCTCAAGATTTTGAGGTGAAAGGTAAAACTAACTGTGTGTGCAAATTAGAAAGATCTCTGTATGGGCTTAAACAAAGCCCTAGACAATGGAACATAAGGTTCGATACCTATGTTCTGAAGATAGGTTTTAAAAGGAGTGAATATGATGCATGCCTGTACTATAATGATAGTAAGGAGGGCTGTGAGGTCTACTTGTTGCTGTATGTAGATGACATGCTTCTAGCAAGTTCAAGTAAGACTGAAATCACTAAGATGAAGAACCTTTTAAAATCAGAATTTGATATGAAAGATTTGGGGAGTGCTAAGAAGATTTTGGGGATGGTTATAAAGAGAGATAGGGCTAAAAATGGACTAGTCATTTCCCAAGAAGCCTATCTAAACAAAGTCACAACCAAATTTGGTATGAATGGATCAAAATCTGTGAACGTTCCCTTAGCAGCTCATATGAATCTTTCTGGTGCACAATCTCCTAAGACTGAGGAGGAATTTAGAGAAATGAGGAACATACCCTACGCTAATGCTATAGGTTCCGTCATGTTCTCTATGATAACAACCAGGCCTGACTTAGCCTATGCTATAAGTTTTTTTAGCAGATTTATGTCAAACCCAGGAAAGCCTCATTGGGCATGTTTGAAATGGTTGTTAAGGTACATTGTTGGTACATTAAATCTGGGTCTAATGTATGAAAAGAGATCTGAAAAACTTACTCTAAAGGGGTATGTAGACTCTGATTTTGCTGGTGATAAGGATAGCAGAAAGTCTACCACAGCGTACTTTTTTACACTAGGTGACAATTGTATAACATGGAAGTCACAGCTGCAGCCTTTAGTTACTTTGTCAAGTACTGAGGCAGAATATGTTGCCATAACTGAGGCGGTTAAAGAATGTACTTGGCTAAAAGGAATTTTAAAAGAATTGAACTTCATGCATGATACACCTGTTATATTTACTGACAGTCAAAGTGCTTTATTGCTTTGTAAAAATCCTGTTTACCATGAAAGAACTAAATATATTGAGGTAAAGTATCATTTTATTCGTGAGAAACTGTCTCAAGGTGAAGTTAATCTTGTTAAAATTCAC